CTGCTTGACTGACAGAATGCAGTACAAGTGACATCCTGGGATTTCCCAGGGCTAGGTCATATAAAGCCTTGCAGCTTCTGCCTGGGCTTTCTGGAAGGTTTGCTCTTGGAACCCTTAACTACCATAGAAAACAAGTCTATCCATATGGAAAGGTCCTGAGATCACTTGGGGAGTCAGGGGACCCAGCTGGGCCCAGTTTTCGAATGTGTCTTCCTATGTAGGTGTCAAGAGTGAGTGAGGTCCTTTCAGACCTTCTGGCCTACGCATCCCCAGATGAATCTCATCAAATGACCTCCAGTGATGCCACATGGAACAGAAGACTCACCCAGGTGATCCCTGCTCAAATTCTTAATCCACAAATTATGAGCAATAAGATGGTGGCTGTTTTAAGCCACTAAGTCTTGGGGTGCTTAGTGGCTTAAATCAACCTCAACAAATAATGAAACACAAAACACTGCTGGACCCTCGTGACTCAGGCTTCAGAGGCTGAACTAACACCAATGAAGGCTTTCGGCAAGGGATCAATCACTGAATATTGGACAACAACGACACCTGAGTGGCACAGATGAGACAAAGGGGAATGTGTTTCCATAGGCCATCTGTCCTAGATGATGTTTTCCAATGCATTTGAATAGTTTCCTTTTGAACATACACCATATGCCAGTAATGCCAATGCACTACCCCGCCAGGTGAACACCAGTGACATGAGCAAACTGTTTCTTAGTGCTATAAGGAAGCTACCTACTGACTGCAGCATTCATGCCATCAACTTGATGATGTAACTAGCACACTCTATGTTGTTAAAAGGTGGCAGTTTGGCACAAGGACATGTGAATCAAGTGATTAGATGCAAACTAAAAGAGAGATGACTATTTCTGAGAGCTGTGGGTTAATTTTTTGGCTGTTCTCGGAATGGAAAATGATTGTGAATTTTGGGGGAAAAATACCAGAGCAATCTGCTTTCTTGGCCGCATGCTATGGAGCAATTTTAAAGCATTGAAGTACTTTCCATATTTTCCAATCACTCAAGTCCAGAGCTGATTATGGCTGTCAGCATCTCTCAGATTCACACCACTGAAGCCTCCTACATCTTTCAGGGAGAGGTTTCACCTTGAAAGCAGGTGCCTGGATTCAGAAGGCACATCTTGCTACAGCAGGAACAAACAGTTTAATTGCAGCACAGCTCCACATGGGCCAGGTGTTTTGGAAAATCACTGATGGCCCAACTCCGAGGCAAACTAGATTCACTTTCTCTTATCTCACAGAAGCAAAACATAACCTCTTCTCCAAACAGAAAAAACAGAAACAAGCCCTACCAGAAACTGAATTCTTCCAAACAAAACCCAGAAACATTTAGATTGTTGAGACCTGTGGGCAAGAACATGCCTGCACTCACAGGCGTGCACACACACACATGCACACACACACACACAGAGTTGTATATGATAGAACATCTCTAGAGGGAGCTTCATAAAACTGAGAATTGTGGTTTCCTCTGTGGAGAATTGGGGAACTGGAGAAAATTAGAGGGTTGGTGAAAGATGAAGACTTTTTTTTCCACCTTAACCTTTGGAATATTTTGAATTAAAAAAAATCATGTATTGTGTTACTTTTTAAAATAATGAAACAGAATAATTCCAAACTTGTATATGGTAATTAAGATGTGCTAGGGAGTATATTTAATGCTTTATGTATATTCACTTTTTAATCCTATAATAACCCAAAATGCAGATATCATTATATATTTTCCTGATCTTACAGATGAGGAAACTGAGATACGAACAGGTCAGGTGACTTGTCCAAGGTCACAGAGCTAGTAAATGCAGCACTGGGATTTGGACTTAGAGTCTGGTTTTGGAGTCTGTCCTCTTAATTGCTACAGAATACTGCCTTACCCCCAATAAACATACTCAGGCCCTTGATCATAATTCAGTTGGAGTACATAAAATTGTTCCTTTCTTCTCTCACATGATCAATATCAGGTCAATATCATGACTTTGGCCAAGTTGCTTAATCTCTCTGAGCCTTAGCCGCTAGTATGTACCAGGTATTCTTCTAGGCTTTGTGGATAACTAGTGAATAAAATAGAGTCCCTGCTCTCAAGAAACTTCCTGTATTCTGGCAGAAACAGGCAATAAATAAACAATCACAGAAATCATAATGTAAGCAATAAAGAAAAATTAAGGAGTGCATTGACAGATGAGGATTGGGAACCCTGATTTATGCTGAATGGTCAGGAAGTGACATTTACACAGAGTGCTGAAAAACAGGCAGGAGTATAGCAGGGAAAAATGGAAAGGGGTGGGGGAAAGGAAAAATGTTATAGTGGAGAGAACAGCCTATGCAAAAACCTGGGGCAGGGAAGAGGTGTCCGTCTGAAGACAGAAAGTTCTGTGTGGCTAAAACAAAGTGAAATTGAGTTTGGAGCAAGAGGCAGATCATGTAAACCAGCGGTCCCCAAGCTTTTTAACATGGGTTTTGTGGAAGACAATTTTTCCATGGCCGGGTCAAGGAGGATGGTTTAGGGATGAAACTGTTCCCACCTCGGATCATCAGGCATTAAATTCTAATAAGGGGTGCACAGCCTAGATCTCTGTTACATGAGGTTCACAATAAGGTTCACCCTCCTATGAGAATCTAACGCCAATGCTGATTTGACAGGGGGCGGAGCTCAGGCGGTAGTAAGGTAATGCTTGCTTCCCTGAGACGCTCACCTCCTGCTGGTACCAGTCCAGGGCCTGGGGGTTGGGGACCCCTGATGTAGACCATAATTTGGCTCACCTCCTACCCTCCAACTGCCATCTAACATGTTTCAATTGTGCATCCTATCAGCAAAATTTTTAAATGTATATAAATAGGCACCTATATTCATATCTATATCTCTATTCATATCGATTATATATATACATACTAAAATATGAACAAAAACATTTTCAAAAATAGAAGCTAAGAAGAATGACAAAGTAAATGATGAAGGTGCTGATATTTTCTTCTTGCCTCCCAAAGGATTGTCTTGCACATCTCCTGAGCTATCTCATCTCCACTCTGGGACTAAAGCTCCAATCCAGAAATCAGTAAGGCCAGTGTTAAGTGAGATTCAAAGGAACAGAATCTCTTATCATGAAACCCTGAGAACTCTCCTGAGTTTGAGGGGGGCTCCTTTTGCACAAATACTGGTTGTGCAAGGATTTCACAATTTTCCTAAGAGCCCTGGGAAGCCACTGAAAGTTATAAGCAGAAATGACATAACCTGATTTACTTTTTAAGAAGATTACTTGGGCTGCTGCGTGGAACATATGTCTAGGCAGTGGCAATGGAAGAACGGAAAGATCAGCTAGGAAGCTGCCACAGGAATGCAGGCAAGCGATGGAGATGATTTGGAATAACGAGGTGTAGGAGGGAGAGCAGCAGTAGATACATTTGAGATCTATGTTAGTGGTGCTGTATTTTGTGAAAGGAGATTAATAATGTTAATTATGAAGTGTTATTGTAAACACAAGTTTACAGGTGCAAAAATGTTTTGTCAACTGTAAGGTACCACAGATAACTATTAATATAACTATAGATGATGAAACCAAATACTAGAGATCCTAACTTGCCCAAAGTCACACAACTGCTTGGTGGTGGGGAGGAAGGAGTTAAAGCAATTGGCCTGCAAACCCTTTACTTCCATCTCTGGGGGCATATCCCAGGGGAAAGAAAAGAAGGCTGGTGACCAGGTCTAATCTCCTTGTCAAATGGACTTCTTAGTGGATAGAGTTATGATATGTAGGATGTTCCTGGCTAAGAATTACCTCTAGTGAATACATCCCAGGACCTGTGAAGCAAGGCTCCTTGGAGAATATCGCATCAGCTATACAACTCTCTGTGGTATAACAGGGAGATGTTTTGTGATTGAAATGCTCCATGTTCTGCAGGGAGAATTTCCTGTGTTCCTTACCTATTATTCTGAGTGAGATGTGTGTCCAGTGAAGGAATATAGGTCCTTGGGAGCCACGCTTGGGTCTCAGATTTTTCTTTACCTCATATGAATTTCTTGATTGCCTATATTCTTGAAACTATTTAGCAAAGCTGGATATTGGGTAAGATCTCTGATTCATATGACATGATTTGACAATCAGATCCCCGGCTTCATTCAGTGGCACGTATCTGTTTCCTGGGCTATATTAGCTCCACTGTAGCATTGAGTTACAAATTATAAAGTCCAGGGATGAAGGGAGAACACACTTGGTTATATTTGAACCCCTTACTAGACGCAAAACTAATATTTATTCGACACATCAAATATATATCTACTTGAAAATAATTTTGGGACTATTTATGCAATTGAAGAAACACAATGTATTTGGCTTCATTGTGCCTGAGTAACACTGGAAGTACACAATAATGGGTTGTTTGTAATAGTTCATGTGGTTACACTGGGAGGTGAGCCTGGCTTTTTGGGTCTCCAATGACAGCTCCTAAGCAGTTCTCTGAGAGAGGGCTTTTTAGATGCATAGATGCTCACCTCTCACCCTCCAATTGCCAAAGAATCAGTACAGTCTCAATGTTCTGCCGTGAATATCATTTCCCAAACCAATCACAGCCCTCCTAAATCAAGAGTTCTCTCTCTTTTTTAAGGTGCACAACTTGGCTTCACACACAAATTTTGTTTTGAAACTTAGAAATGATAACAAAAGACAACTGTTACTTTAGCTGGAAGGGAGGGAAACCTTTGTGTCCTCTCTGCTTCGTAACAAACTATATTTACGCTGGAGGCATCAAAAGATAGAATCAGCACGCAGACCTCACTTCCTACTCCTGGTGCAAAAACCACTGATCATGAACTGAGCTGTTACAGATAAAGCACGTCAAAGGGCCAGGGCTGCTTGTGGCAAATGCTAAACAAGAGAAGGCTGGCAGGCGTGCATGACGACAGCACAAACATGTTTTATGTAGAGAAGACTTTTGACATCCTTTCCGCCCCCAAACACGCTCCCAAACCAAAGCCTGATGTTTACCTTCAGCGAGCGGGTCAAGGGTGTGTATCATGAGCTGAAAGATGCTATTCCTCATGAGACTGTTGTGGAGGGAGGCAGAGCTTCCACCTCGCTGGAGACGCGGCTTAGCCTGAGTGGAGAAACCAAAGAGGTGGTTAGTCTTAGAAATGAAAGGCAAGTGCATTATAGACAAGATCCTCACCTAGTCTGGTGGCTACTCGTTTCTGTCGCTTGATCACACACTACTGAGCCAAAGGTTTTCAAAGTACATTTCAAAGCCCCTGAGGGAATGGCTGTCCCACATCCTTTCCTACTAAATGAATGCATTGCTTCTCTTTTAAAAAAGAGCTTTGTAAATGCCAGGCAATGTGTTATATGCTTCACATCTGTTCATTTATCTCATTGGCAAAATGAACCCTATGAAGTAAATGCTATTATTATTCTTGTTAGATAGATGAGGACATTTCATCTCAGAGAAGTGAAATGAGGTGTCCAAGTCATACTGACAAGAAGTAGAGGCTGGAGGGATGGGTCCCAGGTCTGCTTTTCTCAAACACTACTCTCTAAACCAGTGGGTCGTCGCTAACATTTTTGAAGTGTGCATCCTATCAATAAAATGTTTAAATGTATATAAATAGGTATCTATGCCCATATCTACATAGACACACATACGAAAATAGAAACATATAAAACATTTTCAGAAATAGAAATTAAGAAGACTAACACAGTAAATGACAGAGGTGCTAATATTTTCTCCTTGCTTTCCAAATATTCGTCGTTCACATCTCCTGCGCTATTTGTCTCCACCCTGGGACTACCCCTCTGATCCAGAAAGCAGCATGGCCTGTGTGAAGTGAGACTCAAGGAGACAGAACCTGCTATCATGAAGCCATGAGACCTCTCCTGACTTTGAGGGGGGCTCCTTTGGCACAAACTACTAGTTGTGATCCTTTGGCCAAATAAGTGAAAATGGTAGGTGAGAAGGGAGAATAAGTATCTAAAGTTGCCAACAAACTCTTTTTCTTCTATCTTTAAAAGCAAACAACCTATAAACTCCCAATTCCTCTGTATTTTGACAGGTTTTTACCCTGAATAGGATCTGCTGCCTCCCCACAGTTGATTTTGTGCTGATGATCACAAGCGGAAGACGCTCTGAGGCAGCCAAGCTTTACAGACAGACTTAAGGAGTCGAAAGGTATTGTAATGTAAAGGAATTCCTTTCAGATTGAACTTTCAGTGTAAAAGCTTGATATGTAAATTTTCTGGGACAGGTAAAAATAAAATACTATTCTTTGTCATGTCTTTTAAACTTCTGCATAACAGGGTTTTCCAAAATATTCCATTATATTCCAGACCCACAAGGGGGCTTCCCCAAAAATGCCCCATAAGAGATTCCATGATCAAATACGTATTTAATATATATTGGAAAGTGCTATATCCTAGACCAACTCACCTTAGGGTTTCAAACTACACATTAGGCCAGTAAGTCTGACACTACAGAAATATGTTTAACCTGATTAACTTGGGCAGTGTTTTCAAACTATTACCCATAGGCTCTTATTTTGTGAAATACTTGTTAATAATCATGGTCCACACATTTGGAGACAAATGTGAAACCCGTAGAAAGTATGGGTAAAATCTCACTCTGAGGTAACCGAAGAAATCTGGCTTCCTTAGTGTGATTCATTATAATATTCTATTGGAAATCATATTGCCAATTCAATAGGGTTGGAAAAGAATCAGTGGGGATTACTGGTGTCTCAATGGTGAACCAGATTATAGCTCCTCAGTAGAAGAGATTGAGTCTGTATCCTGCTTCTGGTACTGGATCAGGTGTATTCTATGGGCTCTCAGTGAATGTCATGTCTTTGCTCTGAGCATTACAAGAGGAAAGACAGGGTCATATGTATCTTTATTATGAATTGTTTTAGCCTTGAAAATCTTAAACCTTTCTGAATGTATTGTGTTATTATAGAGGATTCAGATGATTAAGGTTCAAAATATTTTAGGAGCAAGCTTAGGAGACCTGAACAGAATGGAAATGTAATCATTGTTTGATGGCTGAACACAAAAATGTTGAAGGTTGTTTCTTTACCATGCTGCAAAATTTGAATTGTGATGTGCTAATTAAATAGGAACTAAAAATGTGTTTATCAGTAATAATTTGTCATAACCTCTATTGTCCTTATTCTTGGAAACTGGAAGAACTCTGCTGTGGAGATCTTCATCTGAAAAAGATTATATCTCGAGAAATACTGAAAGCATTCTTTTGGGAAGTAAGTATACATATTAAGCATATAGGTCTCATTCAGCATTTTTTTTGATGAGGCCAAAAGAAATTTCCAATCAGAGGATGTGCCTGCATATACACAAAGAAAACAGATACTGAGCATTAGATCCACACCACCCCCAAATACTAGTTCAGCATCCCTTGGAATGCAATTTGGAAATATCTCACTCTTCCAATGCCTAAGAAAGTTCATACCAAATGGAATAGGAAATTCGAACTTTTGAAACCTAGTCCCAGAAAACATGAGTCAGTGAATGTCAGAATTCAGTTATCACTAATCGTAGCATGGAGTAGAAGTACATATCAGGGGTTAGACTATTTAAGTTTTCCAAGGGAAAGAGTGATTATTTCAGCACACAAACCCCTCTTACTCCCACCCCCGCCCCCCACTCTCCACAGGCACACGAGCAGGTACAGACAAAGCCACTGCTTCCTACCGGTAGAGTCGGTTCATCCTTGTCCCTGGCTGCAGATGGCTGCATAAGAGGAAAAGGCAAAGACAAAAGACAAAGAAATAAATAAGTGAGGAATCACATATGACATTTACATTTAATAACAAGCATCAGTATAGGGGAAGATTTCGTTCTTTCTGCTCCTGGGATGAGTTAAGCCAAAACAGGGGACTGAGGATATAAATTTCTAGCTAATATATAATGGTTTATTTAGGTACATGATTCATTCTTCTGAAAGGTCAAAGTTGAATGGCCAACCTGAATGCCTAGCAATACAGAACAGTTAAGTCAACTGTGGCCCAGCCATGCAGTGGAGTACCATGTGATCATTAAAATGAATGAGGTAATTCACATGTACTGATATGAAAAATATCTAAGATATATTGATAGCCAAAAAATTAAACCTTTATAAATATTTATTGTTTCATTTCATAAAGAAAAATAAATTACAAATACTTTAGTGCCTGTAAAGAAAAAAAGTTCTGCAAGAATGATACCAAATTATTATTAGTTGTTGTTACTGGGAGATGGGATTGCAAAGAAATGTCATTTTCTATATGTTTCGGAGGAAGTCAGCACTCATTGCTCTAAGTATTACGAATAAAATAAAGCTCACAGAAGTTAGGCCACTGAATTAAAGACTAGGGTTATCCTACAGGGAAATCAGATAACCCATCTTTTCTTCTGTTCCCACCACCTCGAGTTTTCTATTCTAAAAATAGAAGTCTCTGTTCAGTTGGGAAATGCGGATTAGAACACAAGCGCACATAAAGGCCTGGCAATCTGCTGGTAATGAATGCAACGCAGACAAGGGGAGAGTGGAATTCTACCCACATGACCTACCTGGACAGCTTTTACTTCCTTAACTCAATAGGAACTCTCCTTTGCCAGAATCAGGCACTACCCTGGGATCTCTCCAACGAGATACAGGTGCCTGGTGAACATTTCCTCATGCTTAGACACTACCTTCATCACTTCACCTCAACTACAGGTGCAGACAGCAAGAACAAACTGGTACACTTCCCCTTCTGGTCCTCCCCATTAGGGTCTGAGCAGATGTCTTCAGGAATAACTATACACTTAGAGAAGAGTAGCCAGATGCAGAGCTATTTAAAAACCTTCATATGCTCTAGGCTTTCTCTTTTAGGGTCTACCACACATGTCATATAAAGATATTAAGATCTCCCCATACCCCATTTAAAATATACAGTTCACCTAAAATATACAGCTCTGTGTAAAAAAAAAATAGAAGGGGTTCTTATAATTTTGAATTTCAAATTATTGGCTATGTGCCATTCATTTAATTTAGTATTAGCATGCTCAAAATCTTACAAAGTGAAAAGATTGAATCTACAATTTGTTTTCACTTGTAATGGATTTTTAAGAAGATGCAATTTAATACATAATGAGGCTGATGTTAAATATTTTGTGGATATTGAATTCGACATTTAATAATTTTGATTTTTATAGACACATTTTTGGATTCTGGAGTCAATACCAATGTGTTTTTTCCCCTTCTGGTTCCAAGCATTTTTATAGGCTCTTGAAGAACTTGCAAGTCTCAGGCATAGAAGGGTTCTGGGTTGGTGGTAATTTCTGAGCATAGCCTGTGGGCATCTCTATATTTGCCATACCTCTTGGGTTGGAAGCTCTCTCTCAGTGACTTCTCTAAAAACGCTAATAGGGAAATATCCTGATGCCCTAGTTCCCCAGAGCCTGTTGTGGAAGTGGAGTGGACAGGAAACTGTCCTTTGATTTCCCACTTTCCTCTGAAATCCTGCTTCTCTCTGGCAGGTCCTCTCCTTTTCTTTCCTTCCACATCAGACAGCTCAACAAATGGCCTCACATTCTATAGAGCAATCCCTCAGGGAAATTTTCCAGGGCAGTAGCTCAGCCTGTAGACATACATTGAGATGAACCGTCAGAGCACTCCTCATCAGTTAGCAACTTTACACCTTGTGGCTAAATGGAAGGCCAATAATTATGAGCTGGAATTGATACCACAGTGATAGAACACGAAGGGACAGGATGAAGGTGGGGAGAGAAAGGGGTGGGCTTTATAAGGGCAGAAACATCACCAGCTGAGTTTGAATTTTAAAAAATATATCTAACTAAATTATTTAAGGAAGGAAAAAAAAATCCAAACCTGTTTTTTGATCTGAAAGGAAGAAAAAAATATCTACTCTATTGAATTCCTTTTTCTCTCATAAGCAAGGAGGATCATAATACATAAAAAGTGGATGGAAAATGCCTTGTATATAGATTCTACAAAGAAAAAATTGAGTGCAGAGAAAGGTCTGAAATTCTTTACAAAATTTCCCACTGTTTAATGTCTGCAGTTGACATCATTAGTTTTCTTTCAAGTGTGATCTGCAGACATGAATATACATCAGGGTATAACGGGTAAATTTAGGGATACACACAAATGGCAGCGGAGGCCATTAAAACACCCCTCTACTTTCCTTTTATGTAGCCCTGTTGCAAAAGAGATAAGAAGTGTGACTATTATGGTAATTGCCCATTTCTAGGGGCTCACCCACATCTACTGATAATTCAAGGTTCACCTGACTTAGCCTTGCTCTAATTGCATCCTGAAGCAGCCTCACAGTCATGACAACGTGCAGTTGATTGCATTACAAATTTAATTTTAAAGGGGTTTAATTACACTGGAAGTAACTAGCGAAGGTGACAAAGAAATGATTTTCATATGTATAGCTAGTGGGTTTTGGGTTGGCCTAGTGTTGTGAACTTATTTTTAGGGCCATTGAATAGCTGGCAAGTTTATTCTAACCCATGGGATGTTACAGAAGACGCCTTCTTCAAAAGAGCACTAACATGACTTTAAGGATTACTCTTGGCGTTCTTATGATGCATTTTGCTTTTTAACTCCTTTAATTTTAAACACACCAAAATACCACTCATTTGGGCTGTACCATTATGAAAGCCCAATTCCTGGTGGTCAGTGTGCTGCAGAATAGCTTAACAAATTCCTATAAATAAATAAATAACTTAATGAATGCTTTTATAAATAAATTTCCGATAGCTATAGGAAAAAATCTTTTAAGCCAACCCATAGTGCACACACAGCAATTCTTTGAGGACTGTTTAGGAGAATTCATAAAGTGCATCGTGAAGTTCAGGTCAGGGCTTTGGCGTGCCAATGCAGACTCCCCTCTCCATTCACGAAAGCCAGACTTTTGCAGGCCATTTTCCATTTACAAGAAAGTATTCTGTAATTCAAGCCTTTATTCGATTTAAACCATCTCTCTTCTCAATAACTCCAAATTAGTCATATGGTGAATGCACTTAAATTGAGCAACTGGAAGATGCTGTTAATCTCTATTGTCCTTCCTGGTGGAAATCCCATTTCTACATAGGAATTTTGCTACTTATTTCATAGGTGTTTTGAAAGTATCCATTTATGCTGCTACCCCAGATAATAAAATGCATAGCTCATTTAGATAGCATTTTCAAGCTATAAATCAGTCCCAAGTCCTTAAATCATCTTTCTTCCTTTGATCCTCAAAAGCCAGAAATGATTTTGCTGACTATAAAGTAAGTTTGGATGGAACTTTGTATATAGCCTTTCACCACATAGATGCCCTTAGTCCCACCTCACACACATAAAAATTAGGTCAATACTGCAGTCCAGCTGCCTCAGGGCCACTCAGTAAGAGGATACTATCATGTCCATGGTTCACTCTGACTGGTAATTATCCATTTACAAACCACATAATCAAATGGGTCACCATGAAGACTTCATAGGCCAAAAGATAAGTGTGTAAAATAAGGGATGGTTTTTCTGGTCAATGATGTGGCATCAGATACAGAAGAACAATAAGCAATTTGTCACCAAAGCTAAGTAACAGCCATCAACTTCCACCACTTTAATATTCCACCGACTCCTGCAAAATGTGCCTAAAATGCCTTATGCCAAGGACCTGGAAGCATTAATAAGTCTATAGAAATAAACTTAAACATATAATTATTTTGTCAAAAAAAATCTGAAACAAATATGCCCTTGATTAAAATAGGAATCCAATATTCCAATGGACATGAATTTTAATGTCTTAGAATTCAGAAAGATTTGATGACGAATGATTTAAATGACTGATATTCATTTAAAAAAACTAACATCAAAGTGTAAAATGATGTCTCCTTTTTCTTTCAATACATTACTGTAATAAACAAAAACATTCAAAATGTCTCTCCTGGTTAAAGATGAATAAACCTCAAAGCCTACTGGGAAGACTAGGTACAAGGTGCAGAGACCACAAATCTGCAGTCTAAAAGGAAAGAGATCCTACCACCTCTTAGTCCGATGGAAACTCATCTCTCTCTCCCTCCTTTTACTGTGTCTTTACATATTTCCTAAAACATTAAGGGAGGAGAGATTAAATATATTCCTAGAGAAAGAAACAGAAATTTAAATTCAAATTACTTTGCCTGGTTGCTGGGTAATTATCCCACAATCATGCTCCTTCTGTAAAGAAGGAATCTCAGAGAACAATGAAGTGCTGAAGAGGACAGCCCAGGGTCCAGGAATACCCATTTTACAGTTCTGGTTTAAAGAAATACATTGTGATGAATAGAAGGGGTAGAAATGATCTAAATAAGAAGTGTGGTAATGGAAGCTCACAGTGTGGAAGCAAAGCCTTTTGATGATCTGTTTGAATAACCCTCAGGATCATGAAATGCTTGAGATAGTAGAAAAAAAATTGAGAAGAATAGATATGTTCGCCAACATGGGAGGAATAGAAGAGAAATTGCTTAGAGACAGTTGAAGAACAATTTGAAATACTCAGTAAGGGAAAGGGGCCAGGGTGACTTCATGAAGCAGAACTTAACTGACAAGTTAAATCTACACAACTGTAATCAGAGTCTCTAAAATTTCTTGATCATATACCATTGTCAGAAACATTCTACATTCTCAACAAGTAACACATATAATGTGAATCTTCATGTACTCTTTTATTTTAGTTTAGTTTTTTAAGACATAGAGGCTTGCTCTGTTGCCCAGGCTG